AAAAAAAAAACCAACTTTTGTAGAATTGAAAGAAGGTTCAAACAAACGAGCCACGGCCTCTTCTTTCCTATCAATATTCACCTGGTCCTCAATCGTCTCCTGGTCAACTACAGACAAGTTTGCCAGATTACTCGTTATATCCAAGATATCTATGTCTTTCTCGTCATAATCTAAGCCGATATCACGAAATGCTTCTATATCGACAGCCTCAAAATAGTTTAACATTTTTCCCTACTCACTAGAGTAAGAGGAAACGAAGTATAGAGAAGTGGTACCTGCTAAAAATATCAGCAAAAGCAATAAAAAATAAAGCAACTGAGGACTGATGATAACCAGAGGAACCAGAACCGTTTTATACAAAAGAACAAATAATTTTATTTTTAAACCATTTCCTAACCCACTTTCTTCGTAAGAGCCATATGGACGCAAGCTTGCCTTAAGCGCAGAAGGAGCGTAAGGACGCAGCTCATGGTTCGAAAGTTGTCACACAAGCTGATGTCTCGTGTGCTGCCCAAGAACGGATTACGAATCACAGATTCTTTGCTCCATTTCTCACGAGGCTTCGAAATGGATATATTTTGCTCAATAATTTCTTTTACTTTCTGTCTGAAAGAACAACTTGGAGTGCACAAATACTGCGCTTCTGCTTTATAAGGCAAGCATAACTATGAATGATTATTAGCGTCTTGCCGCAGTTTTTGATGACGCCTGTTTCATAAAATTCAAAAATGGACCTGGAAGCCAAAAACATATAATCATAAACTTTTTTCTCCACGCCGCATAACTCCAACATAATATCTTCGCAATTCTTTTTCTTGAGTTCAACCTAAACACGAAAAATTTCATTAAAGTATTTTAAGACCAGTAAGTGTTAAGGATAGCGGGTATTCAAATCAGCAAAATCCCAATTTTAATCTAAAAAGGGAAATGATTCACAAAACTGCTAACTCTCGCTAATCAGTTAATCTTAAACCACTAAACGACACTAAGTCAGGAAAAAATTCAAGCAATTTTGAAAAAATTCTTCAAACTTACAATCGGCTTATTTGTAATCATGTTAATGTCTGTTTTTTGTCTTCTTAATAAAAGCCCCCTCACCAGCGTGTTCAAACGTTCCGATGCAAGTGCTGAAGAATAAAGCACCCTTCAGCAACATCTATCTTTGAAATCATAAGCTAATCATGAAAATCCAAAACAACGTAAACAACTTTCACAGGAAATGCCAATTGAGAAATATATGATTTCACCTGAGTTTCCCATGATATACTCCTTCCAAACGGCTTCTTCATCGAAAGGCCTGATACGTAAAAATCTGGAAAAGGTAAATGCTAATGAGAAAAAGTATAGCGTAGTGGGAATTTCCAACGAGTGTCTAACAGAAGACTGTTTGATTTAAAAATACCAATTCTTTCTGTAAAAACCAAATATTATCAAAACTTTTCAGCAGTTGTTTGAACCATCAATTGGCAAGATGTAAAAATTGAAAACAAAAAGAAGAAAACCAATACTTAATCAAAGAAAAAAGATCCCAAAGTTTGTTATGTATCGGAGTACCACTAGAACACCAACGACATATTCCTGGAAGCCGACAACAAGCTTTTGAAACCAAAGAATTTTTGTTCTTTATCTGGTGCGCCTCGTCAAGTATTATTCTCTGCCACGCCACTCTGGTTAACACAGACTCTTTTGAGGTATTCTACAAAAGAAACCAATCATTAGTTTAGAAAAAACTGTTCATGAATTGACATCAACGCACCAATTTTCTATTTTTCGATCTAGGATTAACGACACGGGGTAAACCACTGGTTTCGCCTGAGCTGCTGATATCTAAAACCTCAACATCTGCCTTCTTATTCAATTCGTTAGTGACAGTGCTATACGTGGTCAGTACAACATCGTATTGAGCTAGTCTGAAAGCAAACTTTTAGACCGCAAAACTGCAGTTCTATAACTGAAGAGTCGAACCTTGTAGGATCTGTTTCTCTTTTTTGTTTTGGACCGTGAAAAATGTACACACGCAGTAATCCAGGTTTAACGTGCCTCCCAATTTCTTCTTCCCACTGATAAATTAATGATGCTGGTACAATGACCAAGGAACAGTAAGAAGGAACTAAGAAGTTTGCTAAAATAAAAACATTATAAGCTCATAAAAAATCCCAAAACTAAAACACAAAAAGATTACCACCAATAGCTTTTCTTTTCTCCTTCTGTTCCTCCTCATCAAACAGTTTTCTCCTGTTTAAATTCTCAACAATAAGAGATATGAAGCTTAATGTTTTGCCAAGACCCATGTCATCAGCTGTAAATCATTTGTTACTAAATTTAAACAGGATTTCTCAACTTCAGGACGTAAATAAGGTAGACATCAATTTACGGGCTGTTTGGTACCTAAAATGCCACTCGGGGGCACTTGTTTCTCTCGCCAGAGCATCCACGCCAGCCCATGCTTTTGATGTTCTAAAAGTTCTGTTAAAATTCCATTTGGCGTAGGCAAATGATCTTTTTCCAAAGGAGCGCCAGCGATTGAACTGTAATCAAAAAGGGATTCAAAACAAGAAAAAAATACCAATATAAATGGACTAAGGAGAGGATAAATAGCAAATCAATAGAAGCAAAACAGCCTAACTACAAATAACCATAACACCATAAATTTCATCTGTATCGCTTGAAAGACAGCAAAAATACTTGGTAAAAGCGGGAATTTCCAGATTACAACCAAATGCAAAGTGCAGAACACAACCTACGCATGCATTTTTGAAATAATATCACCAGTTATGGCATATGCATTTCTAAAACGATCCGAAGTCATTTTCCCACCAAATAACCTCTGCACCGGTTGCGCTGCAGAAAATCCCGATATAACGATTTAAAAATGGAGAAGAAAATGAAATATTATAGACTATTGTTCTTCTGCTTAGCAAAAAATAAAAACATACAACACACAAGTCGATTATACTCGCTGGGATCTAATCGTGGAGCGGGAATGACCCGCGGACCTCTGTTAGGATCTTTTGAGCTACCTACAACAAAATTTCTTCACTTCTTCATGAGAGCGACACGCAAAAATTTAAAAATTAGAATATTTTCTTGCGCAAAACTTTAAAAAGTAAGAACAGTAAAAACTGACATAATAAAGCTTTAAAAAATAATGTGCTCATTTTTCTTTAAAAGGTAGTATAAAACCTATTTAAAGCAAACGTTCAACCTTACCAAATGCGATTAGACGGTGCAAAGTTTTCAATGAAAAACTTAATTTTACAAATTTCAAAATGTTATATCTTTCTTCAGCCAAAGCAACTGAGAAGCTTCTCGGACAGAAATGAACCTAATGGATTAGGCAGACATCCCAAAAGCATATCAACATTAACACAAAAAAGCTAAACTTGCAGCAGATTCCGAATAAAACATACATGCATCCAAAGTACCATAACCAAGCGTCTTCTTGTTACTTTCTACGAGTTGTACTTCACAATCATCTTGCTTCTTAATAGAAAAAGATCACAAAACCAGTAACTGCTTTAATGCTCATAAGTTTAAGAAAACAGCAATACAGGGAAAGAAAACGGCTTACTAATTGCACTGGTGAAGAAGAACTGGCTTCATCTGTGTCATCACTTAAAATTATAACACTTGAAGAACCATCTGACTCAAGATCCTGAGTTCCTTGATTATCTGAAGTGAAGTTCTCAGGCGAATGGTAATCGCCACTACTTTCTTCCGTTATTACAGAGGCGTTGGAAATGGAATCCGTTTCCTTAGCGTTTTTTGTTTTACAATTATCAACTGCAACATCTTCTCCACACTCTCCCAAAGATTTTCCTTCATATAAACCAACAGAACTTTCAGTCCTTCCATTGCTTAAAACAACACATGCTTCTCCTTCCCGACCCTTGACTGCTGAGGCGGACTGAAATAAAGAAATGAACTCCAACTTTATTTAGAAAATGGTACAAAGAGCAAAACTTCTAACCGTATCTCCATTACAACCCTGTAAAAAAACTCCTAGTGGAAGTTCCCGAAACTAAATTCCAATTTCATTTTGAAAGCGAACGTTAAAGAAATAAACAAATAATATACCAAGCTGTCCTCAATGCTGACTGATTCAATTCGAATAGACTCCGATAAGGATTGCTCAGATTTTACACTTTCAACATCCCCCTCTGAACACACCTTAAGCCCCTCTCCTTCTCCGTAATGTTGCCAATTATTTTCAGATTCAGATTTTACGATGGGGCTCACGTCTGAAATTTCAACAACAGCAGGGTCCTTGGGGTTTGGAGTGGACACTAAGCATTCGTCAAACTTTATTTCTTCACTCCCACATTGAATGGGCTTCTGAAAACTATAAAAGTTCAGTTCCTAATAATAAAACCGTAGCTGAATAGTTGGAAGACAAGCCGATGAGGCAAGGCTGGATAAAAAATTCAAATTTCCTCTTAGAAATTCTTGCAGCCCAAACGCCTATTAATGCTATCCAACGTCTAACAACTAACAACCGAATACGTTTCAAAATACAGATATTCTTTAGACGATATTTCCTAAAAATACCTTAATCATAATCAAAATGAAATTTTTTCTTATTGGTAAACACTGCATTAAGCAATAAAACGATCTTTTCACAAGACTGAAAACTAATCTGTTCTAAAACATAGAAAAATGTGTGAGGCTCTGTAAAAGCGCACATATCCAAACTATCGGTAAGCCTGATTTTGCAATTTCTCTGTGACACACTATCCTCGCGACTTCTCACCGTCACTACTGTAGATTTCTGACAAAATCATCTTGACACATGCACTTCCTCAAAGCGCTTAAATGGTTGACTGGTTTACCACTTTTTAAAGCCTCTCTAAAAAATACGAGGGAAGAATTATGGTCGACAAAAGGACCGCTTCGACCATTCAAATTCCAAAACCAACTGTAACCCGTTCACGCATTGCCTTGTGCTTTCCAACATTTAAACCATTTATGAAGATTTGACGTATATATGTGAATATCGTATAAATATTAAATGGTTCAAATTTATAAAAAGTCATCTGGCGCTGTTCTTACTAAGACTTGAAACAATTTTCCAAATCGAGAAATTACTTAAAACTGAAGTAACAATACAGCTATTCCATTACAATTCGAAAACGGTGAAGATGAAAAGTGCCCAATCACCAGAAGTCCTTCTTGGAAGGCAACAGCAACAGCACCGCACAATATTCAAAAAAGTTTTGAACTTGTTATACTTTCTTCCTAGATGAACCGAAGCCAGACGCAGGTGAAAAGTTGCCAATTCAACCTGACCTACTGTGATGTAAAACAAGTTTTAAGAAACTCCTGGCACATGTCGCGACAAAATGTTGCCGCTCCTGACTCCAAAAATTCAAATGTTACAGTGTAGTTAGAAAAGTCTAGAAATATTTAAATATCTTTCGTACTTCCATAGTGTTAAATAGTACGCTGAAACAGACGCTAGTAAAAACAAACCGTTTTCCAAGTCGTCGTTGATTTACCACGTAATCTACATGGCAAATGAGTACGCGGTGACTCTTTCCAATCATCACAGCTCCCACTCAAGAGACTTCTACTTCGATCAACATTTCTGTTGTATTGCGGTAACAATTCTACAAAGCATTTTCAATGCAACCCTGGATAGTTACCTCTCTTTATATTGCGTTGACATCAGTTTACAAACATTTTATTAACTACTGCTTCCCAAACTCACCAGTAGAAAAAAGTGAATCTCCAATGATTTCACCAGTTTCAAATAAAGAATCTGTACTGTTCTGTTCGGTCATTACAAATGATTATAACTGCTAAGTGATGAAACCTATAAAACACCTTATAAAAATTCAACAAACTTTGTCACATTCAATAGAACGAAACTAGATAAGAATGTAGCATCAACTATCAGGCAGACCGTTAAACAGTCCATAATAAAAACCTTCAGAATAACATCACCAAATAATATTTATGGTCATTAGACAAAGCTGACAATCCTCCGTTTATGAAAAGAAAAGAGACTAGTTACCTTGTTAGAGATTATTTTATGCGAAAAAGCTGTGTAATAAAGAATCAAATAATAAGCCATATATATACATAGTTTAACACCTTAACTAAGATACGGAGCACAAAAAAATTCTTAGCTCACTATAAGATCTCAGACAAAGTTGGCTGGTATCGTTTACATTCCGCGGCAGGTTCCGTTGTACAATTCAAAATTCAAATTGGCGCCAATGAGAAGCAAAAATTCTGAAGTAGCTAAAAATCGCATGCAAACACTGCGGGGTAACAAGGCACCGGAATTCAGGGTTCTGATATCCAGTAGCCACTACACAAGTTTAATCTTTACGCTTGTGTCTCGCCATATTCTTCGTCACGGTTCTTTGTGTATACTGTCATTAGAAAAGCTAGCGTCGTTTCTGACAAATAACTGTTACGTACGACGCAGTCTAAGATGCAATCTTTACATCCAAACGGTCAGCCATGTTCAAAAATCACCGGCAAAATAACAGAAGTATCATGAGGCTAATTTTGAATGGACAGTTGTCCTTACCATGTTAACTTTTACACATCTGCCCATCCAATAAGTCTTGAATTTGTACGGTCAGCCTGCCCATCCAATGAGTCCTGAATTTGTACGGTCAGCAACCTGGCTATGGACAACGCAAAGTCTATGAAAGAGTGGTTTTGTGGAACAGATGTGCGAAGAACAAAGAAATGATTTCACGTTACGTGAGCCGTCAAATTTCTCCCCAAGGATTCTGCGCGCAGAAGACTCCATCACAGTACAAATCAGTTACTTATCGAAGTCACTCTCCTACTCCTCGGCACAGTTAGATCACACTTAGATGAGGTTTATAGAATGCCACTTCTCTACTGTATGGATTGTCGAATTTCAAAACCGGAAAGCAGAGCCAATCTGTTTGATGTTAGTCGATGCGCTAGCGCTCAGGATATATTTATTTGACAACCAGGCGCAGCAGCAGAATCTCGTAAATCACAAGTCATCAAAGTTATTAGTTATTTCCTAGCACTAAAAACTTAAAACTTTATGAAATATGGGTTCCCAACCAGATAATTCTTTAAAAAATTAGTCGTGTGTCGGCATACACGGTTGCACGTACTAACTACTAAAGAAGAAACAGAATTCTTAACTAGTGAGATGTTTTACTGAGTCCAGAAAAGCGAATTAAAAATAGTTTTGACGTCGGTCTTCTATCAGAAAATACAAAGAATGAACTGCGATGGTGAGTTTTTAGACGCAGCTAAGATCTTAGTCAGTGCCAACGAATCAAATATCGTATGCAAAAGCCTTTTTTCAGTTTTAAATAATTGATGAAGCAACAGTCATTAATAAAAATTCCCAAATACTGCTACGGTTAGTCACAAGCCAACAAAATCATATCCAGTACAACAACCTAAGAATCTTCAAATACTATGGCAAATCATCTAGTATGAACTTTTCTAATACTTTTATAACTCGAATTTTTGTTTAAGTCATTTTTGATACCAGAGTCATTACAGCAGAGGCAATATTTCATGCTATCTTGCTGTAGTAAGTCTCTTTTTGTCATTACAATTAGTACTTCATGCCATGAGCTGTAAAGCAAATGAAAAAAGCCAAGTGTATATCATAACAAATTCCAGTCTCTATTCTCTGTGGAGTTGGTAATTGTTATTCTGGTGGTATATCGGCGCGCGGAGAAAGTGCTGTATCTTCAGTCCCTGTTGTCGATGATAGACGTGATCTAGAAAGGGCTGTGGTTGAAGTGCTTTCAGAAGCATTTGCTTCTTTAACAGCTGCAGAGGCTGGAGGGCTTGGTTTGAGCATGAGGCCTTCGTTATCTTCACTGGTAGAAGACGACGATGTTGATTCAATTTGAACTTTTGTAGCTCTTTCAGTCGTTCTATCTTCTTTAATTGCAGCTGATTTCACCTCCTTTTTTTTAACTTCCTTCTTCCCAGTGACTTTTTTTGATTTAGCTTCGTGACGCTTATACACCATATAAAGGCCGACTGTCGCAATCGCAACAATATTTACGACTAGCAACAAAAAACCTACAAAGAAACACTCAAACTTACAGTATTTAACCAAATTACTAGTTTTCTTTTTTCTACTTAAGCAGTTAAGAAGTTCGAATAAAAGTGGAAAAGCACTTTTTACATTTCACTAATATATCTGAAAAGTTTTCTGCTCTTTATAAAAGCAAATGAAGGAAGTGCAAAATTAAGATCAACTTAAAAAATCTACCGAAAATTGTTAGTAGCGATACCGGCGGAGCCTCTTGAGTAAAAACGCCTTCCTGCAAAGTTACTGTTTTCCTTTGTTGATATGTGAAAAGATGTGTGAAACGGCAGTGTTTTAGAGTACTTCCAAAGCTATTATACTCTCCAAAACTATTGCTTTGCGCATTTGAATCTATACATATTAGTTCTGTAGATTACTTCCGTTTTTTGAAGACTGATGTGAATACGCCTCTGTATTTTATCCCTAAGAAGTCGACAGTACGAACAGTTACCCGTTGACAAGCTAATTGGCAAAGAATTTTTTATTTTGAAACTAAATGAACGGGTCTAAATTAAATTATTACGTAGTGAAAGGTAAAGACAGATTGCATAAATGTTCAGCTTTAACCAAACTACGTTCTGAAATAGACTGCTAACGTGAAGGA